AACGAAACAAGGACAAGGTCTAAGCCATACCCCGAGGGGTCGGGCTGAGGCCCACTTCGACCAGCCAGTCCTCAATCATTATTTTAATCACCTATGAAGAAGACATAATCTCCATTAGATGCCCGACCTACTCGAACTCCTCGTCAGTCAAGTATGGTGGGACATTATTGATGGCCTAAGATGACCACTCGAGACTGAACTCCCACCCCTGACTACAACTTATGAAAAAGTGGTGAGATTTCCACCCTTTGTTGTTTGAGGGTGCCCCGCTCACTTTGAAACCACCTCGGGCGGCCAAGTGGTAGTTGCCCTGCCCCTTGTAAAGGCGAAAACACGCCGCGAAGAGGGTGCAAGTCGGGATGATCCCCGCACCTCGGCATTCCCTAAGGAATGCCAACAAATAGCACCACGAGTTGGGTGCCATCTACGAAGGCAAAATTTTCCACCATTTGAGGCAAGCCTCGATGACCGGATGTAGCGGGAACTAAAGTCCTACCTCGAGTGCATCGCTGGTTAACCCAAACTTGTTCGGGAATGGGTCGTAGGATCATTGCCCAGGTCGAGGGGCATGCAGCTCGAATTCGCCCGAGATGAAGTAGTGTTCCCAAAAGCACTCGAGAAGCTACTCAGTCACAACCAAGTCGCAATCGTAAGCCACCTTCATCACCTCCAAGTCCTGGATGGCCTTCTCGTCCATCGAGGACATGCCACTCGATGACAAGCTCAGGACCTCTACCCTAGGACTCCCCAAGGACGACTCAAAGACCTTGAGCGACAATCGACTTGAAGAAGAAGAGGAAGAGGACATCCCGACCTGGATCCGGCTAACGACTAGGGAAAGGGCAGCCCAAGGTGGTGGAGAGGACAAGGAGCAAAAGAGTAGAATGACTCCCCCCACCACTAGCGGAGGGTTTATAAAGAGAAACCCACTGCCCGACATGACCCTTCGCCTTCCCAGAAGCGGGAAACAACTTAACTCATCATTTTGGCACCAAGGAGAAGCCCCCAGGATTAAAAAACTTGCGCTAAAAAAAATAAAAATAAAAAATTTGATGAGAAGAAATGCACAAGGCCCACCTCGGCCAAAAGACCCACCACAATGGATGCGAGCCCAAGTCGTGCACCTCAACCGTGCAAAGCCCGCTAAGGTAGATTTGTGCCTGAGTCGTATGCCTCAACTAGAAGACCTGCTACGGCGAACGTGTGCCCGAGTCGTGCACCTCGGCCGTGCAAAGCCCGCTAAGGCAGATTTGTGCCCGAGTCATGTGCCTTGGCCAGAAGACCCACAACGACAGACGTGAGCCTGAGTCATGCACCTCGGCCAAACAAAGCCCGAGTCGTGCATCTTGGCCAAATAGAGCCCAAGTCATGCACCTTGGCCAAACAGAGCCCGGGTCATGAACCTCGGCCAAAGTAGAGCCCGAGTTGTGCACCTCAACCGTGCAAAGCCTGCTAAGGCGAATTTGTGCACAAGTCATGTGCCTCGACTAAAAGACCCGCTACGGCGGATGTGTGCCCGAGTCATGCACCTCGATCATGCAAAGCCCGCAAAGGTGGATTTGTGCCCGAGTTATGTGCCTTGACTAAAAGACCTACTACGACAGACGTGAGCCCGAGTCATGCACCTCGGTCAAGAAGACCCACTAAGACAAACGTGTGCCCAAGTTATGCACCTAGGCCAAGAAAGGCCCGAGTTGTGCATCTCAGCCAAGAAGACCTACAAAGGCTGGCGTGTGCTCGAGTCGTGCACCTTAGCCAAGCAAAGCCCAAGTCATGCACCTCTGCTAAGAAGACCTGCTAAGGCGAACGTGTGCCCATGTTGAGCACCTCGACTAAGCAAGGCCCGAGTTGTGCACATCGGCCAAGCAAAGCCCAAGTTGTGCACCTCGGCCAAGAAGACCTGCTAAGGCGAACGTGTGTTCAAGTCGTGTACCTCAGCCAAAAAGACCTGCTAAGGCATATGCATGCCCGAGTCGTGCACCTTGGCTAGAGGACCTACTATGGTGGGCCCAAGAAACAAGGACAAGCCACCCGACCCGAAAAGGGGCCTGCCATGGCGAATCACACTCACCTGAAGGCACCACGGATCCAGTCGAAAAGTAGGGACCCCGGTCACCAAAAGGATGTACCTCGAGCCCCCCTATGAGGAACCCGAGGCACACCTCTAGGGGGAGAAAATGATAGGGAATATTCTGGTACCACCCCCACGATAATAGCTGGCAGCCAGCTCGGAGTCAACTTGGTGCATGAGGACGACACGAGCTTAGAAATGACATGCGGCCATACCGGCGCCACCCGGAATCGTAAGAGGTGGCATCGCACAGCGCAGAACCACACAAGTCGACCCGTGCCGCCCGACGCATCGACGACCATTAACAAACTACATACGATCGACACCTTGCAATAGGTATAAATGTCGGCCCCCTGGCCAGCGCTAGAGGATTGGACCAGGAATACCCTCAAACTCACGTCGATCTAACTTGAGCTTCAGAGGGGTCAAGTCGAGGATCCCCCTCTCGATATTGACCTTTTGTGCAGGAAGGCGACGCTGAAGCGAGAGCTCAATTCTCACCTCGGCTTGGTCCAAGAGGCATCACCCTAAACTCGATTTCATCCTTCCATCACCACCTCGGACCGACTCTCTGAATACGATACGAAGACACCAACATAGATTTCTTCGAGAAACATGATCACATGTAATTCATACTCATGTTGTGAATGAGCAGTAATTTTGACCTTACAGACACTGTGTGCTCTATCCTAGCTCATATATTCAACTAAACATGAAACATAACTTCGTTCACTTTAGATCACAGCTCCGTTTGATTCGTTTACATATCATAGAAACAAGAAAAAATGATAGGGAATATTCTGGTACCACCCCCATGATAATAGCTGGAAGCCACCTCGGAGTCAACATGGCGCATGCACACGACACGAGCTTGGCAACAACATGCGGCCATACTGGCGCCACCCGGAATCGTAAGAGGTGGAGTCGCATGGCGCAGAACCACACAAGTTGACCCATGCCGCCCGACACATCGACAACCATTTACTACAGATGACTGACACCCTGCAATAGATATAAATGTTGACCCCCTAGCCAACGCTAGAGGATTGGACCAGGAATACCCTCAAACTTACCTCCATCTAACTTGAGCTTCAGAGGGGTCAAGTCGAGGATCCCCCTCTCGACATTGACCTTTTGTGTAGGAAGGCGACGCTGAAGCGAGAGCTCAATTCTCACCTCGGCTCGGTCCAGGAGGCATCACCCCAAACCCGATTTCATTCTTCCATCACCACCTCGGACATCCATATGGACGCCCTCGCACAATCGGGTCCAAACTGAGCCGTACCGACTCTCGGGACACGACGCGAAGACACCAACATAAATTTCTCCGAGAAACATGATCACATGTAATTCATACTCATGTTGTGAATGAGCAGTAATTTTGATGCAGTAATTTTGACCTTACAGACACTGTGTGCTCCATCCTAGCTCGTATATTCAACTAAACATGAAACATAACTTCATCCACTTGAGATCACAGCTCTGTTTAATTCGTTTGCATATCATAGAAACAAGAAAAAATGATAGGGAATATTCTGGTACCACCCCCACGATAATAGCTGGTAGCCACCTCGAAGTCAATGTGGCACATGCGCACGACACGAGCTTAGCAACGACATGCGGCCATACCGGCACCACCCGGAATCATAAGAGGCGGCGTCGTGCGACACAGAACCACACAAGTCCTACCCATGCCGCCCGACGCATCGACGACCATTAACAAACTACATACGACCGATATCTTGTAAGAGGCATAAATGTCGACCCCCTAGCCAGCGCTTGAGGATTGAACTATGAATACCCTCAAACTCACCTCGATTTAACTTGAGTTTCAGAGGGATCAAGTCGAGGATCCCCCTCTCGACATTGACCTTTTGTGCAGGAAGGTGATCCTGAAGCGAGAGCTCAATTCTCACCTCGGCTCGGTCCAGGAGGCATCAACCCAAACCCGATTTCATCCTTCCATCACCATCTCGGACATCCACATGGATACCCTCGCACGATCGGGACTGAACTGAGCCGTACCGACACTTGGGACACGGCCTGAAGACACCAACATAGATTTCTCCGAGAAACACGATCGCATGTAATTCATACTCATGTTGTGAATGAGCAGTAATTTTGACCTTATAGACACTGTGCTCCATCCTAGCTCGTATATCAACTAAACCTGAAACATAACTTCGTCCACTTCAGATCACAGCTCCGTTTGATTCGTTTACATATCATAGAAACAAGAAAAAACTGCTGCTATACTCCCATGGATAATGCAGGAACGGAAGCAAGATATTTTGTCCAGCTACACCAAAAAATGAGTAGATACAATTGATGCAGATCCAGCACAGTGGCATGCTTCTCCACGTGCTAATCAACAGTAACGTTTGACAAAAACGGATTATATTAGACTGAGACAACCATGTCTTCACATCAGCTAAAGGAAGCATAATCTCAAGCACCTACTAGGCCTGAGAAATAACCAGTGCATTACGAGATCACGGACACACTCCGAGAACAAAATGCGATGGACAGATGAGGAGAAAGATACAAGATGGATGTAGAGGTAAATCTGAAGTCAAATTATCGAAGGGATGAGATCAAGAAGAACCTGAGGAAGCCGAGTTGGAGGTGGTAGTATTTGAGACTAGGGCTGCGTTCGATTCCTCGATATCTCAGGAGCGTAGATCAACTCTGTGATTACACGCTTTAAGCAGGTGCAACCCATTTTAAAAAGGATGGCACCGCGTCGGATTTGGACTACCATTTGAATCAAGCTTGATGATATGTACATGATTGATTGAAAGGCCCAAAAAGCCCTATTATAAGCCCATTAGTACCCCGTTTCTTGTGTGAACCCAAATTCCTACCGTTGGATTACCATCTATCGCGTATCCTGTCCGTCCATGGTCTCACTGTAAACATTAAATTTCTTTACCCTTCGCTGTAACCCGACAAGTGAACCGAGATGGCGGCGATCCCCCCGTCTCCCGTTGCCCTCCGCCCCGCCACCCCTTCCTCCGCCATCGTCGTCCCGATGTCCTTCTCCCTCCATCGCCTCTTCTCGGCTCCACGCCGCCTTTGCTCCCTCAGGCTCGCATCCCCCTCCTTCCGCGGCTGCCGCCGTGGCGCTACCAGAGCAGTCATAATGGACACCGCGGCATCGAGATACGCGAACGCGCTCGCCGACGTCGCCCGGTCGAACGGCAGTCTTGAGGCTTCCATCACCGACATGGAGAAGGTGGATCGGCTATTCGCCGACCCTGAGGTCCAGTCCTTCTTCGCCAACCCCATTGTGGCGCCGGATCGGAAGGCGGAGTTGGTGAAGGAGATCGCCGCCTCCTGCGAGCTTCGCCCCCACACTGCCAACTTCCTCAACATCCTCATCGAGATGCGGCGGATCGACATCGTCAAGGAGATCGCCAGGGAGTTCGAGGCGTGCTGCAACCGAATGACTAATACGGAGGTCGCCATCGTATCGTCTGTGGTCCGGCTGGAACCACAAGATCTCGCCCATATTGCGCAGGCAGTGCAGAGGCTCACCGGGGCCAAGAACGTGAGGATCAAGACGGTACTCGACCCCTCCCTCATTGCCGGCTTCACGATTCGGTACGGGTCATCGGGGTCCAAGTTCATCGACATGAGCGTCAAGAAGCAGATCAATGATATCGCTTCGCAGCTCGACTTTTCTTTCACCTCCCATTCCCTTGACTGATTAACAGGTCTACCTATTTGGACGTCCCATTCTTCTTCCTCTTGCTGCTTTCAAGATGCAATCTTGTTGTGAAACATAAGGCACCAGGCGTAATCTGATGGAGGTTTTCTTTGAATATTTGTGAATAATTGCGTTTGGGCAATCAGGTTAATGGTTGCTTTGAATCCTTCAATAGTTCTGCTCGTTTTTCTTCCTTCTCCCGGTGGGAAACTTCGGGTGCATTATTATTACGTGTGGACGAGAATTTTATACATCTTATATTGTCTTATATCTTGCAACGGTAATAAGAAATTTTCAATTAAATTGTCTTATGAATTATTTATTTTACTAATTGAAGGATGCAATAAGTGATTAGAATATTGCAACAATATACATTCCAGGAATTGTTTATTTGTATTACTTCTTGACTAATGTTCTTCCAAGTATTTTTACGCTAATTTAAATGTTTACCTGTGTTATTTTTTATCAAAAGCTAAATGTCTTTCCCCTTTCAATTAGTAGCTCTGGATTTATTATTGTCATGTGTAGCAATGATATGATACATAAAGTAAATTTATGTGATTTAATGTCTCAGAGGTAGCAATGACCATAAACATTCTTGAATATTCTGGTAAATATTCAAGCTTACATTTTGCTCAATCATCTCACTGTTTTATTCTCTTTTCTCATAATTAGAGTATAGAGAAAGTGGCAAGAGGAGTACAATATCTCTCCATAGATGATGGTGGATATGAGTTTATTATTATGTTTCCTTCTAGATTTTCCACGGTTGATTGGAATGTTGTTAGCCTATGTTCTTCCAAGCATGTTTATCTCAAACTGTCTGTAATATTCCTGTGAGATTCAGAATTGAAAGGCTTCTGGTATGGGTGGTAAAACTAAAAATTAAAATTAAAAGAAGGAAAGAATCTTATGTATATCTTAAAAAAAAATGTATGTTACTATTTCTCAACAAAGATTCTAAGTGTTTTTTTGAGAATTCTTTGTTCTTGCTTGATATAGCAGAAGGCCTGATATAAAATGCATTGTGTTTTGTGCAATATTGACAGGTGATGTTGAACAAAATGATAATATTAAAAAGATCAGCATGTATAAAAGTAAAATGCATTGCATTATGGTTTCTCAAGCATCTGGTACGTTCTTAAATTAAATTTTGGTCAGAAGAATGACTCAGCAATTACTAGCTATATGTTCAGAAGCTTGTTGTTTATTTCGCCTATGTAGTTTTACTAAATGAGATTGCTGTTATGCTGTCAGTTAGGAAGATGAGGAGCCTGAAAAATAAAGCCGACCATGAAGAGACTGTGATCAGACCATGTTCAATTTTGGGTTTCAGCACCTGACTCTATTGAACTTTATAAGCCTATGGAGAATGTAAAGCTATCGTGCACGGCTCTTTTAATTCTCACTCAGCTCTTTTAGTTCTCATTGGTTTGTTGCATAATTATCTTTGTATGCAAAGGATATGTATAGGGATTGTTGTTTGATAGGAATGTTGTTCTTACTTGGCCTATGTTTTTCCAAGCATGTTTGTCTCAAGCTAACTGTGGAACCTGTGGCATTGAGAATAGAAAAGTTTTTGTATGGAGAGTAAAATAAAATAAAAATTAAAACAAGAGAAGAACATTGTTGTATCTTCTCAAATAAAAGAGACAAAGAAGAAAAAGTTATATTACTATATCGCAACAGAGATTCTAAAATGCTATAAATCTAGATTTTCTGTGGGTCTCATTTGATACAGCAGAGGGCCTGTTATAGAATGCATCGTGTTATGTGCAATAGTGCAGGTTGTGTTGAACAAAATGATAATGTTAGAAAGATCATCATGTCTAAAGTTAAAATGGATCGAGTAAATTAGAGACCGGTGGATGTTTCATTGTAGCCCAATGATGTGGAGTCCCTCTACTTATGCTATTGATATTACAGTGGAATCATCACCAAAGAAGAATTAGTCGGAAGCAGGAGATTGAGATTAGATGGTATCTTGACACAGAAAGGTTTGGGTCTAAAAGATAACAAGAATTAGTAATTGAGTTTCTGATTTATTAGTAAAAATTTCTGGTTAAGACAGATAGGGAATTTCTTATATTCTTTGAAGCCAAAGATGTACTCTCTTTTTCTGTGTTTTTTCTTTCTTTGCATTGTCTTTTACCAAATTAAGTTACTTCTACATTGCACCGTTACTTTCTCAACAAATCATATTTAACTATAAGTAGCATGTTTCCGCAAAAGACTAGCATGAACTTTAAGTAGCATCTCTCTATTATCAAAATCATTCTTATAATCTATGTTGTCTTTGCAGGAAAGATTTGTATTTGCCAGTCCATTATCAAAGTGTCCTCGATGTTACTTGGTTATTCTCTTTACAAGAAATTGGCAAAAGATTATTTTTCTCGAAATTATCTTTGAGCTGGAACTTGGATGGTGCAGGGATTATCACATAGGCAATCATGTATTCTCATACAGTAGTTGCATGATGTTTCAGCATGAGAAGAGACTGGATCTGCTTGCATTCATGATGCAAAGTTTATTTGCCTGGAAACTGGGACAACATGTGGGAACTGTGTGATAAGATGTCTCTGCTGCAATATGCTGCATGATACATGGTTCTGATATTTCAAGGTGATCAAATGAAGAGAGTGGAAGGAGACCTGTCGAGTGGAAGCTGATTGGGAGTTTCCTTGGAATGTAGGAATGCAATGACAAGAAATAGGAATGATTTCATCTGCATTCAGAGATATTGGTGTATCAAGCGTTGGTAGATGCAGAACCCAACAGAAAAATGGGCATCCAAATCCCTCTACAAGTTTTGAGGGAAACAAGAAAGTGTAGTCACAGAGTGAGTTGGAGTAGAACAAGATTTACCAAAGAAAAAACCTGGTGACTGATCACAGAATAAAAACCTCATCAGTTTTGCTCAGCCCTAAGCAGCAATTCCTGATTCATACAGTGTGCTCCTAGTGCCAGTACTGAATGCCACAGATGAGACACATCCTCAACCGGCACCTGCATGGTCTCTTAGAGGTGTAGGATGATGAACAAGTGCATGATCACTATCAACTATCAAGCTTCACTAGCCTATTGAGAGGAAGTTCATATAGGCTCTTACTTGATACAGATTCAGTACTTCACTACAGATGTGAAGAAGCAGATACCTCATTACAGATTGTATATATTTGAATTCAAATCAGTGAAAAACATCTTGTTTTATCTGTCCAATAGAAGCAATATGAATAATTTTTAGTGGGAATAAGTGTTATCTTGATCATTTGCTGCAGCCTCAAGAAATAAGGAGCCAAAGTAGGTGTAACTCAAGAAATATTAGTTAAATTAAGTGTCATCCCTAATCCTTTAAGCTAAAATTTATCATAAAATGAAAGATAGTTTTTTTCTTTACTTTGTTTAATTAATCAAAAGTTACTATCCAAGCTAATTGGTTTATTAATTTTGTTTGACTCAAATTATTGAACAAAATATTTAATTTAAAATTAATAATAGTATATTCATCTTAATTTTACTTGCTTTCAATGATATAAGACAAATCGAAATATTTAAATATTTTGATAGTCACGACACCAGTTTTACTTGCTTTCGATATAAGACAAATCGGAATATTCAAATATTTCGATAGACACACGAGCTAAGGGGATAACTAGCTCATGGCCCAAATAACTAGTTAAAATATTTAAGTTAAATTTAATAATAATATACTCATTAGATTTGATAAGTCAGTAGTAATCATTTATTAATTATGATGTTTCACTGATAAATATATTTATGTAATATTTATAAATCCTGCATCATCACATGTGAGAGAATTATTAAGAGTTTGAAAGTAGATTGGACACTCTTCTAATGACTTAAAAGTTTTTGGAATTTATGGGTTAATAACTAAAATGAAATGAAATATATAATAGAATGGGCGTTTTCTTAATTTTCTTTTTTTTTTTTGAATAATTTAGCAACTGGCAATAGGAAAATATACGATGCTACAAAAGTCTCAGAATCTAGACATGTCAGTCAAAAAATCAATTTAAAAACACTTTACCCATTTTGATAAAAACAATGAAAGTAAAATAAATAAAATACTAATATTTGGTAACAAAATTAGAATAATTAAACGATTGGATGAATTTTAAATACCAAAAATTAAAAGTGGAAGTCTAAATTAAATATTGTGAAAAATACAATTCCAACTTTTAACATCAATTAAGTTCAATCTGTAGAATAGCAATTAACTATAAATTCAGCCCCAACATCATCACTACTCAAATAATATTCCACGAAAAAAAATGGAGTGCATTTATCACCCCTCAAATATTTCCTCGTGATTTATGGATTAATCCCTCTAAAAGTTTTCCTATTCGTTGCATGCGCCTCCCACCTTTGCCTACAATAAAACCTTCGTTAGCTGTCACTGCCACCGTTTCCCCTCTCTCGATACAGGAATCTCCATCTCTCTCTCAGTCTCTCACAATGCCTTCTCTTCCTCCTTATAAATACCAGTCTTCCCCGTAGGTATACATGGCTTGCTTTCCAGGCCCTACTCTCTTCTGCTTTGTCATACAACCTTCTTCTTCGTCTTAGTCTTCCAATGTTCTCATCCGTCCTATTCAGGAAGAAGAGAGACCAACCCCTTGCCAACCCCATGAAAGCCCCAAGGCCGCTGGGACTCAAGACCATCGCCGACGCAAGCTTCGACGGTCCACGTGAATCGAACTGCGTGAAGCGAAACTTCGTAGCGTCGTCGCGCTCGCCATGCTTGCCGCCTCCCTCGTCTGCGGAGGATGGTAAGGCCATGGGCCGAGGTGAGGACGGGGACGACGATGCCGAGGAGGACGTGGTCGAGGACGACGACGGTGCGTGCTGGGCTACGTACGGCAGGAGGCGCCCTGGCCGCCGGTTCCCGCCCCCGATCCCGCTACTCGCCAGGACCGGGAAACTTACGTGCCGCTTGCCTTGGGTCCTGAAGCGGACCTACGAGGACGACGGCCGGCTCGTGATCCAGGAAGTCCGAGTCAAGCACCATGAGTACTTCCGGGCTCGCCGGAGAGACGGCCGCCTCACGCTCCAGCTCGTGAAGTTGGACGACCACCAACCTACGGAGGAGGATATAGTGGTGGATACCGATAAAAAGCAGGATACATCATCGTCACTATCATCATCATCGTCGTCGTCGTCGTCTTCCGAAGAAGAGAAATGGATACAGAGAATGCCTGCATCGGATAAGGCAGCTACTTCTACCCCAAGGCTGCCATTGTCGTCGAAGATGGTGCTGTCTTCTTCCATGCCTGAGCCAATGTGCGGCAAGGCGAGCTTCGAGAAAGGGGGACCGACGCCGCCGCTGCACCTGCAGTTTGCCATGAGTAGAATGAGATTGGTGCATGGTTAGAGGAGAAATCGTTCTGTTAACAGTCCTTTCTACTTCATCACCTTGTCAATAAAGAATGGCTTATGTTTTCTTTTCTGCAAGCATCATCCTCCCCACAACATCGCTTCATCATCTATCTGATCGTGGGATGATAGCTTACTGTACTCTTTTTTCTCACCAAACCCAAAAAATTGGCATTGCTGGGCTCGCGACTGATCTTTTCTCAGACACAGTCCCTAGTTCTCTTGCTTAGGGTGGTATCACTGGTAATCGTTGCCACTTGCAAGATCTGTAGCTACTGTGCATTAAATGTTGATATCATTCCCGGTATACCGCCAAACATTGATCTTACTGGAATTTGAGAGAGAAGTGCCGTTACTCCTTCGTGTCTTCATTGCCTCATCAGACATGCATTTGGCAGGAGGCTTCCTACCATTCTAATGATGATTAATTTGAATCATCCAACGTATCTACTTGGGTCAAAGAATTGATCTTCCTCCTCTACTCTGTTGGCTTTACAAATTAAGGTTCTTGTGCCATCACCATTAATGCCGTTTTGCTGTAAATCACGAGTGCAACTGTTCCAGCCATGAGCTCGCCCATGGTTGGTGGTTGCATGTTACTTCACAGAACAGGAGATCGAAATCAGAACGGAGGGGTTGGTGGTATCTGTGAAAGTTTAGAAAGCGGATTAAAGGAGAAGTGGCGCAGCTGTCACGCAATCAAAGCCGGTTCCAGGTGTGCTTTTTCTTGCGCAGGTTGCCTACAGCGTCCACAGATGTTTCTTGCCCTGGGTGGAGTTGACCTCCTTGAGGCCCTGAGCTACACGTACGTGGACGAGTGACCCAAACGCGTCGACATGTGTCGTACACGGCCAGTCTTTCCCTTTGACTGAGGGATCGAGCTCACGTGTGTATGTGTGACGGAGTGAGCTGTTCGTGTACAGCTGTTCGTGTACAGTCAGCGCGCAATCACGGGACGCCACAGCGACGCTGCTCTTTCACACTGACCCAAGGAACGAATACCTTCTTGATAATTTCATATAAATATTTTTTCTTTTTATCAACATACAATATAACCAAAGTATATATATCATTTATATCGTAATTTATATCAGGACGATTTTCCTTAAAAGCTTCTTTTTTTTAAAAAAAAATGTTTTTCAGAAGGTTCCTCCGGTTTTAGTATTTTCCAATAATGATACCCTCTATTTCAAATAATACCTAAAATACTCTTCATCAACTCTCATGATATTTTTTTCTGTCGAATATTTTTACTTATTTCTTACTAGATTTTAACCATTATAGTATTTTTATTAAGATATTAAAAATATTATAAAACTATTAAAAAATGATATAAGTGATATCATATTATGTCTCCTTTTTTTTTTTGGTAAGTACATATTATGTCTCCTTGTTGTTATTACTCATAAATCATTATGATATTATATTTTTAGACTTATAGTTGGTTTGATTGAGGTTGAAATTTTATTTATATCATTTATATTTTTTAAAGTGGGCTTTATGGTGTTCTGGTGATCAAAACATCGTAATAAGCTATTTTTTATTTTTATTTATATAATATTGTTTTTAAAATATTATAAATACGTATCTAAATCCTAGTATTATATATTGAATTATTATATATTGAATGATTTTTAGTATTTTTTAATTTAATTTAACTCACTTATAATATTTTTTAATAACGTGATAGTGTTTTTTATTGAGGTATTAAAAACATTATAAAACTATTAAAAAGTAATATAAGTGACATCCAATTATGTTTCTTTGGTTGTCATTACTTATAGAGCATTACAGTACTAAACTTTTAGAGTTAAAATTAGTTTGGTTAACGTTATGAGCCTATTGATATCATTTATCATGTTTTTAAATAGGTTTTCTAGCATTTTTGTTATGATGGTCTTTATTAGATAAATGCTTTGTGCATTCTATGCAAGATATGAAGAAGTTCCCTAAATCCATTCCTTTCATTAGCTTGCATCGTTGGGTTTTGTACTGTTCCTATCAGTTTTGCCTAAAAACCTTTGATCAAATTATCAGGCAGATAGACTCGTTATTCAATTCAGTTTAAGTGGATTTTAATAATTCACGGTTCACTTTAGTTTTAATGCTTTTCTTATTTAATAAAAAATTTAACTCTTTTAACTAAAATGTATGGTGTCTAGGAAAGAAAACAAAGGCAACGGTGGTTGCGAAAAAGGGAGAAGCAACAGTAGCAGTTGAGGATAGAAAAATAAGAGAAGAAGGAAAGGGAAGAACACAAGGATAATGCAGAGGTTATTCTCAATTATCCATGCAGTGTTCTTATCTCAAGTTAAATTAGATTTATAGTGAATTTTTATTGTGATCACTCGGGGAGATTTTGGATATTTTGCAAAGTGATATAATCCATGTTGGTTAGGTTTGAGGCAAGAGACTACGAGATTTGTATATTTATTATTTTTATAATGAATTTTCTCTAGCTTGCCTCGTGATTTTTAACATTTATGTTGGAGGGATTTTTCATGTAAATCTTGGTGTCTTATTTGATTATGATTTTCATTTAATTTTGTTATGTGTTACAATATGCTTGTATTTGTTCATATATAAAATTCTCTTTTTATCCCATCAATTGGTATTAGAGCAAGGTTTTAGTGTATTTAATTTTTATGTTCGAATATGGAGGCCGATAGTATTTCTCGCATGATTAACTTGAACGAAAATAATTTGATGATAAAAAATCGAGAATGAAAGATCTCTTGTATTGTAAAGATTTATATGGACCTTTGCAAGGGAATAGTATAAAGCCCACAACTATGAAAGATGATGAGTGGAAGAGATTATATCGAAAAGCAACCGGGTTTATTCGATAGTGGCTCGATGACATTGTCTTTCACTATGTTTCTACTAAAAGATCTACATACTCTCTTTAGAAAAAGTTGAAAGGTCTTTACGAATGAAAAGCGATTGACAACAAAGCTTTTTTAATTAGAAAACTTGTGAACTTGAAATATAAAGAGGGCACTTCTATTACTAGACATTTGAATGAAATATAGAGTATCACTAACCAGTTATTCTGTATGAAAATATCTCTTGATGATGAGTTGTAAGCATTGTTACTTCTTAGTTCTTTGCTAGAAAATTGGTAGACATTAGTAGTTTCCCTTAGTAATTCTGCGCTAAATGGTGTTGTCACTATTGAATCTCGTATTTTGATGATGAAACCAATTGATATGTATTTATGTTTTAATCTGTGTTTTGAGTGACGCAGGATGCTTCGATCAGGATGAGACAATTAAAGCAGAAAAAATCATGTTGGGCCAGAGGAAACATGTCAGAAGATTGGACGTCGGGCCAATGGATTGGTCGACGTATCGACAGAAGGCTTCGGGCCGTGGATTCGGGCATCGGGCCAAGAAGAGCGAAGATTATGCTAAGGATATCGGAGTTACGGAGTCAACTGGCCGATTGGGCAATAGGCCGCAAGAGAGGACGATGCGCCGAAGAATCGGACAAAGCGTTGAGGGACCAATGACATGCCGGACAACTTGATTAGATGCTTAGGATTAATTGTCTAGATCGAAGTGTGTTTTACATGTGCAGGATTAACTATGATAGCAAGACATGAAGCAAAATGAAGTCCCGGAGTCAAGGACGCGACATCGTTGGGAGTTTGAGAGTTCGTCGGAAGTTCTAGCGGAACCAACCGAGAAGTCGCGGAGCTTGCCAAGAAGCTCGTCGAAACTCGCCAAGAAGATCGTCATGAAGTCTAGGAGCTTGCCGGGAGTCCGCCGGAACATTGCCGAGAGATCGTCGGAAGTTCGCTAGAAGATCGCCGGAAGCTCGTTGGAAGAACCAAGACTTACGGACATGTTTAGCTTAGAATATGCCTTAGGAATAGTAGTTAGCATGTAATTAGACTTGGATTTAGGCCAACCCAATTAAGGGCCAGCTAACCCATGTAATCACTGTGTTCGTACGTTAAAATCTGATTCCGATGTAAAAGTCATTTCATGCAGATAATAACTTTGAAAGCTTACAGAAATGTATTTGAAGTAAAGTAAAGAAGGTAGTTTGCAGTTAAGATAGAAATCAAAATGTAAGCGCAAACTGAAATATGATGTTCGTACAATAAAATCGATTTCTGTCTTAACGCCGATTCGAAAAATACTTAACTATGAAACACATTCGTAAATGAGTAGAAAGCAGTAAGCGACTAAGGAGGTTTGCAGTAAAGATAAGATGCTCAAAGAAAATGCAAACCGAGATTTAGAGTGGTTCGGTCAATCTTAACCTACATCCACTTTTGGCTTCCTCCACCAATGAGGTCACCGACATCCACTAGAGGCCTTCCTTCAATAGGCGAAGGCCAACCACCCTTTTACAGTTTCGCTTCTTTTGACGGGCTTAGGAGACAACTCTTATAGAAATTTCTCTCCTCTCTTGAAAGATCTAAACTTGGAAGAAAAGAGGGAGGAGAACTTCTAGCCTTTATTACACTTTTGAGCTCTAAAAATCACAAAGTAAGATTAGATTTTCGGTACCCTTTCATGCAGGAAAGGGTGGGGTATATATAGGCCCCAAACTGGTTTGAATTTGGAGCTCAAAAATATCTTTTCCCGGATTTCCGGGGTCCTAGCGGTACTACCTCCTGACTGGGGCGGTACAACCGCTTGGCAGCTCGGAGATTGAGCCTCTGGACAGTGCCACCACTTGATAGGGGCGGTGGCACTGCCTAGTCTCGCTCGGAGACTGAGCCCAAGCGGTGCCACCGCCTGATTGGGGAGGTTGCACTGCCAAGTCTCGCTCGGAGACTAAGCTCAAGCGGTGCCACCGCTTGACCTGGGCGGTTGCACTGCCTAGCTTTCTTGGGAGACCATCTCCTAGGCGGTGCCACCGCCGACCCTAGTGGTGCCATCGCTTGGCAAGAATTCTGGTCCGAATGGGTTGATCCATTCGGTCCAATTTAGGTCTGTCAAGGGCCCAATTGCCCCTAGATTAAGTTAATGGGATCACCTCTCATTCCTAACTTAATCTACATGCTAACTACAACATTTCTTAAGACATTTACTACAACTTGCTCTGA